GGAAAGAGAGAACTGAGGGGAACTGGTAATTCAGAAGCCAGGAAGACAGCTGACCTTTGGAAGTAGGGAGCAGAGGCTAAAAGTAAATTGCTCCATGTTTCCCAATGCTTCCTCTAGTAGTTAAGGCCAGGACCTCAGGATAGGCTGTAACTGGCACAGGGTCACCAGAGCCATGGATTAAAGCTTTGACAAGTTACATCTATCAATCTCCACCATACCCTGGCTCTGTTAACTCTGGGTCAGCTAAGAAAAAAGCTAAGACATTTCAAACTCTTTGCCATGGCTTTCCTAATCCTCATTGTTTCTAAGAGCTAAACTCCCCTCTAGAATCACCCATGCTTGGGGATGGGGGAGGGGGGGAAGTGCAATGGGTAGAAAAGGGATGAACTCACCGGGTGGTCATGACAATCACCAAGACTTTTTGCTCCCATACCATGAGCCAGAAATCACGATAGGTATTCTCCAAAGGGCCTACAATGAAAGTAGAAGACAAGGAACGTGACCCTGGGAAGTTCTTCTTTCCTTCTTAGGCTCTTCTGTTTTTTCCCAACTACTAACTCCAAAGCACATACGCTGGCTCCCTGCCTTTTTGACTATATCCCTGCTATTCAGGGTGGTCCTTGGGCAAGCAGCACCAGCATCGTATGGGAGAGTATTAGAAATGCACAATCTGCATTTTAACAAGATTTCCAGGTAAAATTGTAGGTAGGCTACAGTTTGAGAAGCATTGCTACATATCCTCTTAGAGCCTCATCAACAGGGCTTCAGCTATCACATCTAGACTGAGAGTGTCAACTGTGCACATGTCTCTAGCTGCTTTCACCTCACCTAAGCCTTATAATCACCAGTTGCCTACTAAACCATTCCCCTTCCATGTCCCCTCATCCATCTCCTCAGACCCCTCATGTTTGCAATTCAGTCTCCTCCTTCAAAATTAGCTTTCTCTCTCTACTTTCTCAACTCTGTTAACAGTACTGGCATTCTTAAATGACTCAGTCTCAAAAAGTTGGAGTCAACTCTGACTTACCCATTTCTTTCATCTCCCAGAAACAGACACCAGGTCCTAGATTTTTTTTGCCTTTGGAATGTTTTTGGTTTTTACGCTTTTGCCCCTATCCTGGTCTTCCTGACGAAATTCACTGCCACAAAGACCATATCATCTTTTGTCTGAGTTCCCGTAGTACCATCTTGGTTTACTTTTCTGAATAGGAATTTTTCTTCCAGTCTATTCTGGATACCCTTGCCAGTTTAATCTTTCTAAAAAATTGCTTCATCACAACATAGACACACAAGCGCACTTCTGCCTCTATTCCTTTGTTCACATTCTCACCTCCATGGCCATTGGACTTTCTACCCATTTTCTTTTTTTTTTTCTTCTGGTTTTATTGAGCTATAATTGGCAAACAGCACTGTGTAAGTTTAAGAGAGCATAATGATTTGACTTATTTATATCATGAAATGATTACCACAATAAGTTTAGTGAACATCCATCATCTCACATAAATACAAAATTTAAAAGGAAAAAAACTTTTTTCCTTGTGATGAGAACTCTTAGGTTCTACTTTCTTAACAGCTTTCATGTATAACACACAGCAGTGTTAATTATATTTATCACACTGCACATTACATCCCTAGTACTTATTCAGCTTATATCAATAAATTTGTACTTTCTGACTGCCTTCATCCAATTTCCCCCTCCCCCCAACCCCTGGTAACCATAAATATGATCTCTTTTTCTATGAGTTTGTTTTCAAAGTATAATTGGCCTACAACACTATGTTAGTTCCCGGTGTACAACATACAGGGATTTATACGTTGTTCGATATTTCTATACACTGCAAAATGATCAACACTCTACCCATTTTCAAGTGCTGCCTCTTCCTTAAAGCTTTCTCTTAACACCACATCCCTTTTTTTAAAAAAAATTATTTATTTATTTATTTATTTATTTATTTATTTATGGCTGTATTGGGTCTCCGTTGCTGCATGTGGGCTTTCTTCTAGTTGTGGCAAGTGGGGGCTACTCTTCGTTGCGGTGCGTGGGCTTCTCATTGCTGTGGCTTCTCTTGTTGCAGAGCACGGGCTCTAGGCGCGTGGGCTTCAGTAGTTGTGGCACATGGGCTCAGTAGCTGTGGCTCACGGGCTTAGCTGCTCTGTGGCATGTGGAATCTTCCCGGACCAGGGCTCAAACCCGTGTCCCCTGCGTTGGCAGGTGGATTCTTAACTACTGTGCCACCAGGGAAGCCCCAACACCACATTCCTTGTAGGGCTTTCCTCTCATCTCAGCTCTTGATGGCACATCTGGATCAAAACATCTTAACCATTTAATGTATATGGTCTTACATCAGTCATTTTACTTTGTGAGAAGTAGTCATATCTCAGGCAAACATGGTGCTGAGGGCAAGGGCTATGTCATCAACTACTCCTTTTAGAGTTAGAATCTGTACAGGGCTGGGCACTCAGCAGGAACGTTGAAGATGCCTGTGAGCCAATAACTCCCTTTCAATCAAGTGAGTAACAACTGAGGATAATTCCTTGTACTTCCCCAGTGCTTTTTTCTCCTTTGCTTTCAGGGAAGCAGGGCACTACCAAGGGCTGATTTTGTCGTGGAAATCTGCTAATTGCACTACCATTTTTGCTGAAGTCTCTTAGGAAGCACTAACAGATAATAGAATTCCCTCTTTGCAGAAATGGACACTGCCAGGAGCATGTTGTGAAGTCTTGGAAACAAGCTAAACGTCTAACAAGAGAGGATGTTAAATTATGGCATACCCCCAAATTTAAGCAGTCCATAAAGGTGATATTATAAGATTTGTATTTTTGCTATGGAAAGGTATCCACAAGACAACCATCAACAGAAAAAAGAGATAATGTATAGAAAAAGCCCATTTTGTTAGATAGTTTATATGTCCATATCTATCTGTATGCACAGAATGAGGTTTAGGAGATGCTGCAAAATGTTAACATTTTCTCTGGGTCTCTGGGTTATGAGTGACTTTCATCTTCATTTTCTACAATGGACATGGCATTACCATAGCATGCATGTCAAGAAGATAATAAAAACACCCTTTCCCCCACTCTGACTCTTAGCCTTGTTCACATCACACTATACTGCATCACAGCAGCTCTCATATACTTTATTTTCCACATTCAAACCACTGGCAAAATTGGTGTTGCCAATCAGAGCACCTGATAATACCACTTAGACTCAAGGCTTGACGGAGAAGGGTCATAATTTCCTCAAAGGCGTAAAAGAGAGATTTAGAAGGGAAAGTTACACTTCGCAGGTTAGACCCTTTAACAGTAGACTTCTGCGAAGAAATAAAGTCAGCAGTTTATGCTGACATGGATGAAACAATCCACTAACCTGGCTTGCAAGGACTTTTGAATCAAACAGACATGTGCCCAATCCTGTCTGTGTCACTTACTAGCTGTGTGACCCAAGGTCACCTAATCTCTTTGGGCTTCAGTTTGTTCGTGGATTAATAAACCTTCCTTGCAGAGTGTCTATAATAATTAGATGGTGATTATATATCTAATATATAATAGATACTTTCAATAAATGACAGATATTATTAGAAATATTATGAATAAAAATCAGAATACTGAACACAGCCAGGAAGGTTAACCAGACAAACCAAACCAGCCTTCCCAACATCATAGGATCCCATTTTCCAGTCCTAACAGAGTGCTGATGCCTTCTGAAGATGATCAGTGTTTAACTCAAGAAATCGTCTTTCTCATACTCCTGGATGAGCTTCTTCTCCTGCACAGGGCCTTCAGAGCCAGCCTAAAGGATCCAATCCCTGGATTCTGCAGAACTAGCAACTCTAAGAAGTGCCCTTCCCTTCTAAACCTGGAGAGAGGAGCATTCTGAGACCCCTAGAGTCAATCCTTACCCTCCATAAGCCCATCCATGCCACGGTCATCCTCCTCAACAAAGTCCTACTCTCAGGCAGATCACATCCTAATCTATACCTGCCAAAAATCTTTCCTGATAGTTCTCTTATTTGTTCCTAGGGTCTTGAAAGGACTCTTGTTGGAGAGAGTAGTCCCTCCTAAGGGACAAACAATAAATCTGTGACCATCAGACCAATTACAATATACCAAGAATCCAAAGGTCCTTTTCCCTTTTCTTCTCCCTCAACTTCTATTTTGAAAAATCTGGGGCTTCCCTGGTGGCGCAGTGGTTGAGAGTCCGCCTGCCGATGCAGGGGACACGGGTTCGTGCCCCGGTCCGGGAAGATCCCACATGCTGCAGAGCGGCTGGGCCCGTGAGCCATGGCCGCTGAGCCTGCACGTCCGGAGCCTGTGCTCTGCAATGGGAGAGGCCACAACAGTGAGAGGCCCTCGTATCGGGAAAAAAGAAAGAAAAATCTGAAACCTACAAAAAGTTGAGGGACTTCCCTGGTGGCACAGTGGTTAAGAATCTGCCTGCCAATGCAAGGGACACGGGTTCGATCCCTGGTTTGGGAAGATCCCACATGCCTCGGAGCAACTAAGCCCGTGCGCCACAACTACTGAGCCTGCGCTCTAGAGCCCGCGAGCCACAACTACTAAGCCCACATGCCGCAACTACTGAAGCTTGCGCGCCTAGAGCCCATGCTCCACAAGAGAAGCCACCGCAATGAGAAGCCTGCGCACCGCCACGAAGAGCAGCCCTCGCTCACCGCAACTAGAGAAAGCCCGTGCGCAACAACAAAGACCCAACACAGCCAAAAATAAATCAAAAAAAAAAAAAATAAGTTGAAAGAACAGTACAATGTACTCATACATTCTTTAGCTCGAAAGCTATCATTTTTAGCTACCGTTTTGCAAAGCCTGCTTCTCTATATATACACAACACATATTTTCTCTTTTACTGAACTATTTAGGTTTCAGACATTATGACATTTCACTCCTAAATACTTGAACACGTATTTAGAAGAACAAGAACATTCTCCTGTAGAACAATACCATTATCACACTGCAGCAATTAAACATTAATACAATAATATTATCTAATACACAGTCTCCAACTGTCCCAATAGTTTGTCCTTAACAAATTTTTTTCCAAATTGAGTTTGCAAGTATGGATGACACACTGCCTTTGGTTATCAATGTCTCTTTAGTCTCCTTTAATCCAGAACAGTTCCCTGTCTTTTTTTTTCCCCCCATGGCATTAACTTTGAAAAGTCTAACCCAGGTCTGTAGTATGTTCCACAATCTGGATTTGTCAGGTTTGTCTCTCATTATTAGATTCAGACTTAAAAACTGGCAACAGGACTTCCCTGGTGGCACAGGGGTTAAGAATCCGCCTGCTAATGCAGGGGACACGGGTTCAAGCCCTGGTCTGAGAAGATCCCACATGCTGCGGAGCAATTAAGCCCGGGCGCCACAGATATGGAGCCTGCGCTCTACAGCCCATGAGCCACAGCTACTGAGCCCACATGCCACAACTAAAGCCCGTGCGTGTAGAGCCCGTGCTCCACAACGAAGAGTATCCCCCACTAGCTGCAACTAGAGAAAGCCTGCACGCAGCAACAAAGACCTAACGCAGCCAAAATTTTAAAAAATAAATAAATTTATTTAAAAAAAACCCCAAAACTGGCAACATACAACATAGGTTATGTTGTGTAGTTCTCACTATACCACAACAGGAGGCATATAATATCTATTTGTCCATTATTGGTGATATTAAGTGTGATCACTTGGTTAAGGAGGTATCCGCCAGATCTCTTGCTGGCCATATTCCACAATGGTCAAAGGGCCTTAATTCCATATGATGGCCTGTCATGTCCTCCTATGCTGTGATTTCTCACCACCCTCTTTGAAGGAAACCTGGTATTCTCCTTGAGATGGCAAAAAACAGGTCAGGAGTAGTACTAGGGCCCACAAGAATATTAACAGAGGCTCCATCTGAAATCCTCCTAGAGCGCCCAATACTTCACTGTCAGACCTAGCAAAGACTCTCCATGTCAGAGACTGCTGGCGTGCTCTGTGATGGTACAGGGACCAGAAAAAGCCTCTTAAGCCAGCAACACCCATTCATAGACTGAACTCAATCTCTGGGAAGTCCCATTGCCATTCCTTTATGTCCTACTTGACATAAAGAGCATCTCACTGGCCAGTGAACTCTGACGTCCCATTCCCCTGGGTTGGCAACACTAAGACACAGTCCAAAAACTTGTAGTAATGTTGTGTGTTCAAATCTCTAGTTTATCTCTATGCAGTGAGTTTCCAGGCACATCTGGTACAGAAACTCTACACCTCTCATCTGCCTGCCTCAATAACCCTCAATCTTTATGAAAGGCCAGGATCTAGTGGCTGCAACATCACCTCAAGCTACCATTTCCTTTAAAAATTATGCTATCATCTGATGCCAACAATCACAGGTAGATGACACAAAACCAATTTGTGAGGGGCAGACTACTTACCTTGTGTCCCAATGTAAGCATTCTTCTGTTTGTAGCCATCCATGAAACTGGCATTGATGTAATCTGTCTAATGATAAAAAGGAAATATAGTTGCAGCTGTGTGGGATATACCATTTGGGTGGGAAAATGATGTACTAAGTAAATAAAACTCAAGGTATGAATTTTCTCTTTTTGTCACGCAGAAAATGAGGAGGGAAAGGACCAATTCAAAACCTAACTTCCACAAATGTTACTGGGACAAATGGATATCCACATGCAGAAAAAATGAAGCTTACCCCTTCCTCACATCATATACAAAAACTAACTCCAGGAAATTCCCTGGCAGTCCAGTGGTTAGGACTCAGCACTTTCACTGCTATGGTCTGTGTTCACTCCCTGGTCATGGAACTAAGATTCTGCAAGCCGCACAGCGAGGCCAAAAAAACCCCCCAAAAAACAAAAACAAACAAACAAAAAACCTAACTCCAAATGGATCACAGACCTAATGTAAGAGCTAAAACTATAAAACTCTTAGAAGAAAACATAGGATTAAATACTTGTGACCTTGGGTTAGGCAAAGCCTCCTTAGATATGACACCAAAAGCACAAGCAACAAAAGAAAAAACAGATAAATTGAACTACATTAAAACTGAAAACTTTTGTGCTTCAAAGGACACCATCAAGAAAGTGAAAAAACAGGGGATTTCCCAGGTGGTCCAGTGGCTGAGACTCTGCGCTCCCAATGCAGGGAGCCTGGGTGCGATCCCTGGTCAGGGAACTAGATCCCATATGCATGCAGCAACTAAAGATCCCGCATGTCACAACTAAGACCCAGTGCAGCCAAAATAAATAAATAAATAAATATTTTTTAAAAAAAAAGAAAAAAAGAAAGAAAGTGAAAAAACCACCCATAGAATGCACATATTTGATAAGGGATTTGTATCTAGACTATATAAAGAACTCCCACAAATAAACAGTAAAAAGACAACTCAGTTTTAAAATGGGCAAAGAATCAGAATAGCCATTTTTCCAAGATGATATATAAATGGCCAATGAGCAACTGAAAAGTTGCTCAACATCATTAGTCATCAGGGAAATGCAAATCAAAACCACACTGAGATACCACTTCACACTCACTAGAATGGCTACAGGTAAAATATAATAACAAATATTGGCAAAGATGTAGAGAAATTGGAACCCTCATACACTGCTAGTAGTAATGTAAAATGGTGCAGTCACTTTGGAAAACCATCTGGCACTTCCTCAAAAGGTTAAACACAGAGCTACCATATGACCCAGCAATTCTACTCCCAAGGGAAATGAAGACACAGATGTAAACAAAAAAACCTCATAAACAAATATTCACAGCAGCATCATTCATAATAGCCAAAAATGGAAACAACTCAATTGTTTGTCAACTAATGAATGGGTAAATAAAATGTGGCATATATCCATACAATGGAATATTATTTAGCAATAAAAAGGAGTGAAATACTGATACATGCTACAACATGTATGAACCTTGAAAACACGCTGAGAGAAACCAGACACAAGGGCCATATATTGTATGATTCTATCTATGTGAAATGTCCACAATAGGCAAAAAGAGTGGACAACAAGTAAGTGGGTTTGGGGGAAATGGGGAGTTTCTTCTTTAGATGATAAAAATGTTCTGAAGTTGATTGTGGTGATAATTGCATGACTCTGAGAATATATTAAAAACCAATGACTTGTACACTTTTAATGAGTGAACTGCATGGTATGTGAATTATATCTCAGTAAAGCTGTTATTTACAAAAAAGGAGTTCATTAGGACTTGTAGCACTACAGCTCAGAACCAAAACCAAAAGGCAGGCAAGCCAAGCAACCTAAGCAGGAACACCTGTCCATGCTGTGACACACAAAAGGCCAAGTGTGACTGGAGAAGGAAGAAAGCTATATCTCATAGCTAGGACCATCAACAGCATGGGCCAAACGGGCTCCATTACTGCCTAAATTAACACAAAGCAAAAAGCTACACACATTCAGAAGAGTCTCAATGAATAGCTCCTGACTCACTCTCTTCTGCGGGCCTTTTCCCACCTCCCAATGTCCTCGGTCTTATTTACATCATTAGCCATCAGGGAAATTAAACAGGATATGGAGGGTTACAGGAGGACAAAAGTAAAAAAGTTTCAACAGCAAACTAGGGAAAATCCATACTCCACTCCACTCTAGAGAGATGGGAATGACTCCCCATCAACCCTTTCTCCACTGGGTTCCAACACTTGGAGGACAGTCTGAACTGTCAGTACCACACAGCCACCCTAAGAAAACATCTCCAGGGAGTTCCCTGGTGGTCCAGTGGTTAGGACTTGGTGCTTTCACTGCCGTAGGCCTGGGTTCAATCCCTGGTTGGGGAACTAAGATCCTGCAAGCTACATAGCTTGGCCAAAAAAAAAAAAAATCTCCATCTCATGGTCAAACCCATGTTATTTGGATATATGTCCATTAGATAGTCAGTCTACCAACTTATCCTCCCACTAATTATTTATTCAAGAGCTTCCTGCTCTGTTCTTCTCCCACAGCAACTGGTATTGACCTCATATGACTAGTGTTCTACCCTGACTTGGACACCTTCACTGAGCTAATGGATCATCTGCAGCAGACCCAGAAAGCTAAAAGTCTCACTCACCCCAACCAGGCTTCTCAATCCAGGGCCCACCCATAGTCAGCCAAAGCCCATCCTCTGTTCAGCCTGGCACATTCAAATAGTATACACTGCAGGACCCAGGTGAGAAGGTATAGAAAAGTACAAAGGATTTACCTGGTACATGCCAATCAACATATTATATAAGTAATATATGAGCTGTTGCTCTTGGAGCTACCTTCATGCTTTGAAAAGAAATGCCACCTATTTAAAGGAGACATTTCTTTATAACTAAGGATATCAGCTCTTAGCATCCTTGTCTCTGAGAGCACTGGGAATTAAAATCAGCAATTTCAGAAGAATCATTACATATTAAAAACTGAAAATGACCTCAGAGATAAAGTATAGACTTAGGGGCAAACTGAATAGCAGGAAGAAACACAGCATGCACATTACGTTATGGGCCAGGTTCAACTGAAACTGGACTAATGGCTTTGTAATTCCAGGTGAAATCTGTTGAACAATTCACTAATAAACCTGAATCCTCCACTTATTGTGGAAATAAAGGCTATACCAATATTTGTAGTAATGAGAGGGACTATAACTCAAGCGATGAACTTCAGATTAATTACAGGATGACTAGAATAGTCTCCTGGTACACTGGGATTCACTCATTCATTCACAAATAATTTACTGAATGTCTGATACATGCCAGGCACTGTTCTAGGTCTTTGAGACAGAGTAGTCAACAAGACATACATTCAGATTATCTCTGACTCCAGAGCCCCAACTCAACTAAGATTATCTTAATAATACTGGTGAATTTGCCTTCAGTCAGCCAGACTCTTAGCTAATGCCACTGCAGGAAAACCCTCTGTAAGGATCCTAGACAGGATTATGAATTCAATTTATGTGCTTGAAACACTAGGGTCAAAAGAGATTAAAACCATGATCCTAGGGTACTGACTCATGTACCATACATACCCAAATATAAGGCAATGATGTTCCTAAGAATTATCCTCCAGAAAAAAGGGGGGATATAACAAGCCCCTATACTGTGTCATGTTAAGGGGCACTATTTAAACTCCTTTTAAATAGTGAACAGCAACCTCAATCAATGCTGTTTTTTGATGTGTACAGAGGTCACCAGACAGAACTGTTGTATCGGAAGGAAAAAGAAGAAATGTAACACCTATTTAATTGTTGACCTCAAAATTCTTAAGTGTTGGATGCTGCTGTAAACGAGTTATAATAAAGAGGACTTTAAAAAGGAATAAGCAAATGATAATGCTACAGAGGATACATGAGATACAGGATGAATGAAAAGAAAAAACTGTGCTAATGTTATGCTAATAGACTTTTCTGACTTAGAATAAACTTTCCAGTGACAATACCAGGCACTTAAAAAGGGAAATAAAAATGATGTGTTCTGGAAAACTGTGTTCGATTGACTCAAAAAGTAGCTCAAATGAGGACAAAGAAACTGATGCTAAAGGTGTATGTGAAAAGTTTAAATAACTTTTCACTAAATATCTCTACTAAGTACATGTGATTTTTAATATGCACAGATATGATCAAATTAATACATTAAATAATAGAGGCATCTGACCAATTTATCTCTATCCCTATATATTTATGTATACACTAGTTGTATATTTTTGTCCAAAATTTTTGTCAGATCTTCTAGATGGAAAAATCAGACGTCATTTTTTTTTTTTAAGAGTTGGATTTCTTTCTTTTTTTTTTAATATTTATTTATTTGGCTGCCCTGGGTCTTAGTTGCAGCATGCAGGATCTAGTTCCCCAACCAGGGATCGAACCCAGGCCCCCTGCATTGGGAGCGTGGAGTCTTAATCACTGGACCACCAGGGAAGTCCTAGAGGTCACTTATAATGAGAGTCGCCTGGTATTGACGCATATACACTCACCAGTATGGTAGATGACATGACTATGACTTTATTAGGAGTAAAAGGCGAAATAATTGAACATTTATCGAGCACCTACAGTAATATGCCAAACTTTTTGCTATTAGCATGTACATAAAGTATTTCATTTAATTTCTACTTAGTACTGTGAGATGGGCACATAGGGACTTGTGTATGTTAATAACTAGTATATAGTCTAAAACTCAAACCTTGCGGCTTCTCTGGTGGCGCAGTGGTTAAGAATCCGCCTGCCAATGCAGGGGACGTGGGCTCCAGCCCTGGTCCAGGAAGATCCCACATGCCGCAGAGCAACTAAGCCCGCGAGCCACAACTACTGAGCCCTCGTTCCACAACTACTGAAGCCCCCGCACCTAGAGACCCTGCTCTTCAAGAAGATAAGCCACTGCAATGAGAAGCCCATGCACCGCAACAGAGTAGTCCCTGCTCGCCGCAACTAGAGAAAGCCCACACGCAACGAAGACCAAACATAGCTAAAAATAAATAAATTAAAAAAAAAAAAATATATATATATATATATATATAGTTTAAAAAAATAAAACTCAAACCTTCTCTCTCTGGCTTAGAGTCCATGTTCTTTCTATTACAGTATTAGTAAGCTTCACTTTGGAAGAGGCTTAAATTTCCCTCAGTGCTCCTAAAAGGATGGCATTTATCTTTCTACCTGAGCGTGGCCGCTTCGTTTTGTCAGCTTCACTCTAGTTTGGTCCAGGCAGGGTACATCCCCATAGCGGTTCTTCTCTAGGTTTCCTGGAGACCTGAAGGAAATGAAACAAACTAAAATAAAGAAAAAAAAAAAACAGCTACAAGAGTTGAAAATGGATGACAATGCAAGTGGAACTGAGTGCAAGTCAGGAGATTGTTGTCATTCATTACTTTTTTTTTTTGGTACTATTTGGTTTTGAAAAAATCATTTGCATACATATTGATTAAAAGCAAAAAAAAAAACTTATAAAGACCACACATATAAAGTAATACTCTATATTGTTCATAGGTATGAATGTATATGTAACAGTATAAACAAAATGATCTGGTAGGAAACATACCACATTCATACTAGTGACTGCTTCTGGGGAATGAGGAGAACTGATGGTGAGGATTAGAAGGATTTCAACTTTATAATTAATTCTTTTATACAATAAAAAAGATGAAGCAAATCCAACAAAATGCTAAAAACTGTCAGTACTAATGCAGTGATAGGAAATAATTGTTTGTCATGTTATGCTCTGCTCTTTTTCATATTTAAAAAAAAAAATTCCCAGACTTCCCTGGTGGCACCAGGGTTAAGAATCCACCTGTCGGGCTTCCCTGGTGGCGCAGTGGTTGAGAGTCTGCCTGCCGATGCAGGGGACACGAGTTCGTGCCCCGGTCCGGGAAGATCTCACATGCCACGGAGCGGCTGGGCCCGTAAGCCATGGCTGCTGAGCCTGCACGTCCGGAGCCTGTGCTCCACAACGGGAGAGGCCACATCAGTGAGAGGCCCGCGTACCGCAAAAAAACAAACAAAACCTTCTTCCCACACAAATAAGCCCAGCTGATATTTTACAAAGTTCCAAGAACAATTCAATAAAAGGAATACTCTTTTCGACCAACAGTGCTGGAATAATTAGATACCTATAGGGAAAAAAATTTGAACATCAACCTAAACCTTACACCTTACACAAAAGTTCATTCAAAATGGATCATAGACTTAAATTAAATGTAAAACATAAACCTATAAAAATTTTAGGAAAAAAAACCTAGAAAAATCTTTGGATTCTAGGGCTAGGCAATGTGTTCTTAGACTTGACACCAAGAGCATGATCCGTACAAGGAATAACTGTTAAAGGAACTTCATCAAAATAAACTTCTGCTTCACAAGAGACCCAGAAGAGAATGAAAAAAAAGCTACAGACTGGAAGAAAATATTTGTAAACCATGTATCCAACAAAGAACCAGTACGTAGAATATAAAGAACTCTCAAATCCCAACAGTTTAAAAAAAATCCAAATGGAAAATGGACAAAAGACATTTTACAAAGAGAATATACAAACGGCAAAGAAGCACATGAAAAGATGCTTAATATCATTAGATAGTAGGAAAATGTAAATTAAAACCACAATTCTAATTTTAATTTAGGGATCTCATCACACACCTATCAGAACAGCTAAAATAAAAAATAGTGACAACACTGAACGCTGGTGAGGATGCAAAGAAAATGGATCATTCATATATTGCTGGGAGGAATGCAGAAGGGTACAGCCACTCTGGAAAAGAGTTGGGCAGTTTTTCATAAAACTAAACACATAGTTACCATATGACCTATCAATCCCACTCTTGGACATTTATCCCAGAGAAATAGAAACTTATTTTCACTCAAAACCTAGACACAAATGCTCAGAGCAGCTTTAATTGTAATAGAAACTGGAAACAACCCAGATGTCCTTCAACAGGTAAATGGTTAATTGATTAACAGTTTGTACTGAGGTTCATCCATACCATGGAATATTACTCAGCAATAAAAAGGAACAAATAATACAAATTACAACTTGGGTGAATCTCCCGAGAATTCTGCTGAGTGAAAAAAGGCAAGCCCAAAAGTTTACACATAGTAATGATTCCATTTATATAATAACATTCTTAAAATGATAAAATTATAGTAATGGAGAATTGATTAGTGGTTGCAGGGGTTAGGGATGGGGAGGGGTGGAATGGAGGTATGTGGTTATGGAATTCTGTATCTTGACTGCAGTTATGTATACACAAACTTACCTGTGTGATAAAAATTGTAAAGAACTAAATACATACATACACACTGAAACTGGGGAAATCTGAATAAGATTGGTGGATTGTATCAATATCCTGATTGTGATACTATATTAAACTTCTGGGAGATGTTACCATGGGATAGCTGTGGAAAGGGTACACATGATCTCTATTATTTCTTACAAATGCATGTGAATCTACAATCATCTCATAATAAAGTTAAAATTTAAAGTTAAATTTTTTTAAATCCTTTGAAAGGATGGTATAGGGGAGGAAAAAAAAGGGAAAGAAAGTCTCTTGGTCCACGGGCATCCTGGACAGCAGTGAATACTCTATCTACTTCTTAATCTAGAATTCCATGGGAAACAGTTTGTTCTGTGTAAGTAGTTCTACTGGAACTTGGTGTAAGACAGGGTCCTGAAGATGTTGAGGATTCTGGTTTCTAGTTCCTGAAGTGGGACGTTTTCATTGATTCAATAAATAAAGAGGCAAGATTGGGAAGTCCTTCCATAGGACTAGGACATATTCTCTGATTATAACACGACAGCTGGCTTGGGTGATGCAAGGAGCACAATCCAAACCCACTTTTTTAATATGGGGAAGGGGAACCACTGTAGAATGACACCTCAAGGACCCTTCAGTAGAAGCACCCAGAGCAGGGTCAGAAATACCCAGGACAAGTGTGCATCCTCTGCACAGGCTGGGAAAAAGACTGGATACTTACAGGGGTCTTGAGCTGGTAGGGATGAAACAGAGCTGTGTGGGAGAGAATACTCTCCCCACATGATATATACTCTGCTTTCTCTCTCTCTTTTTTATTTCTTATTTTCCTTTGCATTCCTGTTCTGCTTATTGATTATTTTTTCTCAGTTGCTTCTTCTCTCTTACTTCCCTTATCTGTTTCCTAACTCATTATTTTCCCTCGTTCTTTTTTCCTTTTCCCTCTTTCCTCACTCCCTGCATACCTTCTTTACAGCACACTGACTAAGCTGGACAAGAATTACAAGGGGAAAGAGGTACTCACAGAATCACGGATTCCTAAAACATTTAAGCTACAAAAGAGTAAGTAGATATCAGTGAGTCTAATATCAAATACTACACACAGGAAAACTGAGGTGCAAAGAAGAGAAATAACTTGGGTAAGTTACAGACGGTATTTTTGGCTAAGCTGGAACTTGAGCCTGGGACCCACTGGGGAGAGCTTCCTTTTTTTTTTTTTAATATATATATATTTTTTGATGTGGACCATTTTTAAAGCCTTTATTGAATTTGTTACAATATTGCTTCTGTTTTACGTTTGGATTTTTGGCCGCGAAGCATATGGGATCTTAGCTCTCTGACCAGGGAACGAACCCACACCCCCTGCATTGGAAGGCAAAGTCCTAACCACTGGACCACCAGGGAAGTCCCTGAGCTTCCTTAATTTTCAACAAACAGTCTCAAAACTTGGAGAAAAAGAAGCTTTTGCAACAGCCAATGAAAACATGGTAAGATAAATGACAGCAGCAGTAAGAGAAATGATCCATGCTCTATTGCCAACAATAGTTATCAAGTGGTTATAAACCAGTTATAGAATTCAGGTAGAAGGAAAATCCCACAAGGCTGAATTCCTAAGAGGCAACTCTTCTCTCTTACTGACTGTGGATTATCTTAAATGGACCAGTACCCCTCCTCAGAAAGTAATGTAATACTATAAATGCTGTAGGGAGAAACTGCCCAAATGAAAGGACCAGAGATCAAATCGACAGCCTACATTTTGAGCCTACATTTTTGTTTTTTTCCTAAAAACACTTGCATATCAGGGAAATATCAAAAAATGTATCCATTAGTACACAGTTCCTCCATTGGGACCAAAGACCTTCAGAAATTTCACAGCATACGCTGTTGGAAACAAGCACCAAGAGGTGCCTCTTTCTGGATGAGAGAAACTATCATCTAAGTGAGAGTGAGGCTCCTAACACAAGGAAGAGCCTCTGTTAAGAAGTGAGGTGTGGAAGGAGGGGTACCAGTGCGTGCCAGAGCATCTTGGAGAGTGATCGCTGGCCCAAACCTTTCCTACTTACATGGAACAGTGGAAAGTGCCAACAGGGTTCTCACGACGGATGTCTTCATACTCCTCATATATCCCCCGCTTTTGCCTGGTGCTAACATAGTCCATCAACTCTTGGATGGTCATGGCATGGGGACCTGGGACATGCACTGAGTCCCAGTCTAAGGTCGGAGGGAGGGAGAACAGGATGATCTCATCGAAGGGATCTGGGTGGCCGTTCATCTGGGATAGAAACTGGAAATTCCAAGTGGCGAGGTCAATTTTGATGTACCCACCCAGGTTTTCTGGAAGGCACTCCCTGGGCAGGTGCTGGGTGACTTCAGATGTCTTTAATATCTGAATCTGGAAGGCCAGAAAGAACCACGTGAGTATGTGGGGAGGGAGGGGAACAAACAGATAAAGAACAAAAGTGCTTTGGAGAATGATATGAGATTTGCTTGAAATACCTGGTAAACTTAGAAAAGGAGTAGACTGAATTTCATCTGCTTGGGAATGAAGTCCTATGAATTTCCCAGAAAAGGTGACTTCCCACAATGTATAGCAAATTCATTCCTGGAATTAGGGGCCCTGTTATAAACCTTATATAAATGTAGGTATAGTGAACCAAGGCTTTATACTATTTACAAAGCTTTCCAGTACCATCTCATGTGGGTATTTGCCTTTTTGACTACTAAGAATGCATGGGAAGTGGTTATTTTTGTCAACCCCATACTAAGGCAATCAATTCTAAGCCTGTTGGCTTGTGTTTTACTCACAGCTTGGTATGGACATTCTCAAAGATAGGTTTCTGTGAAAGCAAGACAAGACCAGCCTCCCAGAGGCTGGGTAGCCCAGGAAACATGCTAGAGAAGTAATTGTAATACTTAATTCCTCTCTCTGCTTGGACACAGCCATAGTGGACCAAATTAGCCTAGTTGGTTCTTTTTGGAATCTGTGTGGAATGGGAATGTTTGCCTTGCTTGCTGTTGCCTCTTCCTAGAATGCTGCTTCCTGGAATGCCCTCTTTTCCTCTTTGGCCTTTTCAAGGACGAGCTTATAGCCCAACCTCTTCTGTGAAGCCCTCCCTGACAGTCTGAGATAACATTCTCCTCTATGTTTCTGAGAGCCACAGCTCTCTGAACATGTCTGTGTCCCCTTTCAGGACCATAAGCTCCTCAGGAATAAGGGCTATCTTACTCAACTTTTAATTCCCAGGGCCCAGAGCCTGGACTGTAAAGGTGCTCAATATATTTTGAGTTCATACATGCATGTATATACTTGTATATAATTCAAGTGTTAAGAACTTGCCTAAGGAATCCTCTCAAAGAGTTATCTTAGGAAAGACATCTCCTACTCTGGGGTCACTAGGTCACTAAGTAGCTTCCACAGAATCAAACATCTTTAGTTTCCCCTCTCCAACCCAAGTCGCCTCAGCTACAAAGATCTGTATTGTTATTATTCATATAATCTCATAATAAAAAAAAAACCCTCTGATAATATTTTACAACATTATTATCTTATTCTATTATACCAATGTTTCATATACCCTTTCTTTCAAGGGTGAGAAATGAATGAGTAGATGACTGAAACCATAATCTTTCCATCCTGGAATACTCAGGGGCTGATAATAGAATCAAGATAATTTTAGACAACGCTTTTGAAGTTGGGAAGCAACAAGCTGTTTTAAGAGAAAATGCCAGGAATAAAAGTTAAAGAGAGATTGAGAGTCTCCTCCACCACCGTGGTGGTCAAGGGGACTGAATATTTCCAGTTGAACAAATTCAAATACCAGTTCAACTGATGTAATTATATTAGAAGTTGTTAAATATTAAAAGCCTGTAGAGCCACAGGACTAAATTTTGCAAGTAGTAGCTATCTCTAAGTCACTCGTGGAACACATTCCTTCGATACTATCTGCATGCAAGGTGCTACATACAGGGGAAGTGCCCAAACTATGATCAGGTCCTAACTTCAAGGAACTTGTACAGTAAGAAAGGTAGCCTATACTGGGCTGAGTAAAGAATAAAGCAGAGAATATAAGTGAACACACTAACAGAAGCAGAAAGAGAAACAAGCCAGGAAGGTTTTTTGAAGGTAGAAAATTAATTGGCAGGTTTCAGCAGCAGAGATGGAAATGTATCTATCCGACCTCCAAATAAAATTAAGTTAGCTTCCTTTACCCTCTCCCGGACTTTGTCCTTCAGAAGGAGGCTGATGATGGAATAGGGCACTCGGAACCATATGGGTGCTCCCACAATCAGCACTTTCTTCAAACGAGCTGGAAAAGCTCCCTGCGGAGAACAATACAAGGATTTAAAAATACCAATTAGGGCACTGCAACAGTGCCTAATGGGACCTTTGACTGTTCAACTACAAAGTTTAGGTTTTTTGCACTTCTCATCATTCTTACCCAGCAGGGGGAGTCTACAGCTTAACTCAGGTTTCACTTAGTAGCTAGAGAAAAAGTGGTTAAAAAGAAAGAAATGGAAGCAACCTAAATGCCCATCAACAGAGGAATGGATAAAGAAGATGTGGTACATATATATGTATATATATAATGGAATATTACTCAGCCATAAAAAAAACAAAATAATGCCATTTGCGGCAACATGGATGAACCTAGAGATTGTCATACTGAGTGAAGTAAGTCAGACAGAAAAAGACAAACATCATATATCGCTTAAATGTGGAATCTACAAAAAGTGTACAAATGAACTTATTTACAAAACAGAAGTAGAGTCACGGATGTAGAAAACAAACTTATGGTTAAGGATGAAGCGGGGAGAGGGATAAATTGGGAGATTGGTATTGATATATACACACTACTATATAGAAAATAGATAATAAGAACCTGCTGTATAGCACAGGGAACTCTATACTCTGTAATGGCCTATATGGGAAAAGAATCCAAAAAAAAAAAAAGAGTGTACATATGTAGATATATCAATATAACTGATTTGTACACCTGAAACTAACACAACATTGTAAATCAACTAAACTCCAATAAAAATTTTAAAAAAAGAAAGAAAGAAATTAAAAGCTGATTTACTTTAAAACTAATCATGTTATGGAGAAACAGAGAAGAACAAAAGTTTGGCTGGGACACCTCAGAATTATAGGTGAGTGTGGTGGAATCTGCACATTTAAATGCATGGGCTTTGAGTTATTCAATCTGGACCCATTTAATGACAAAGAAAGACTTCAGGACTTGTGGTTACATCAGTAAGAGATACCCTAAAGATTCTCAACTCTTCCCGCAGATCTGAAAGAGGAATCTCAAAGGAAACTTTGATAACAGATGGATATCTCCTGACCATTTTTTCCCGTGATTATACTTCCCTGATCACGTGAGTTCTCTATGATTTTTATTGTCAGCACAATGCTGCATTTTCAAAGAAAATCTTATTTGCGAAACAAATAAATAAAATAAAAAATAAAAATAACAATGTTATGTTGTCAATATAAGCTTTATGGATCAAAACTACTCTGATTTTTCTTGTCAGCATACACGTGTGCATCCTTAAGTTCTGATTATTAAAACTTGAAGGAACAATTAGATCACGAATAAAATGAACATGAAACATTTCTCATAATCTTTCCTTTATTCTGATATCTATGTGTTTATAATCATTGATTTTCCACTCATCTCTTCATCTATTTATGTATTCATTCATTCAATCAATCAATATGATCTAGCGGGCACAAGGGCAAATGAGGTCTAAAAGAAAAGAGACACCCTGATCTGCACAAGGCATAAGAATGAAAAATTATTCCTTCTTAATCCATAGCTCTTGGTTTCATTTAGTTTCTCAGTATTTCAGCACTTCTCATAGGCAGGGATACTGAAAAATACTGGTATTCTAACTGGGAAGAAATTATTCCCAGTTAGATAACAGTATTTTTTTTAAATATTTTTATTTATTTATTTTTGGCCGCGCTGTGTCTTCATTGTGGCACGCAGCCTTCTCTAGTTGTGCTGTGCAGGCTCCAGAGCGCACAGGCTCACTAGTTGTGGCACGTAGGCTCTCTAGTTGTGGCACGTGGGCTCTCTAGTGGCATGCAGGCTTAGTTGCCCTGCGGCACATGGGATCTTAGCTCTCCCACCAGGGATTGAACCCACGTCCCCTGCAGCGGAAGTCAGATCCTTAACCACTGGACCACCAGGGGAGTACCCCCTATAATAGTATTTTTTTTTTGGCTATGTTGGGTCTTTGTTGCTGCGTGCGGGCTTTCTCTAGTTGCAGTGAGGGGGGCAACTCTTTGTTGTGGTGCACAGGCTTATCATTGCATTGGCTTCTCTTGTTGTGGAGCACAGGCTCTAGGCGCACAGGCTTCAGTAGTTGTGGCACACGGGCTCAGTAGTTGTGGCTTGCAGGCTCCAGAACGCAGGCCCAGCCGCCACGGCGCACAGGCCCAGTTGCTCTGCGGCATGTGGGATCTTCCTGGACCAGGGCTCAAACCCATGTCCCCTGCATTGGCAGGTGGATTCTTAACCACTGCGCCACCAGGGAAGTCCCTATAATAGTATTTTAAAGTATTATAATAGCATTTTAAAGTACAAAAGATAAATATAAATTATAATAGTATTTTAAAGTATAAAAGATAAATATGAAAAAATTAGCCACCCTATAAGTAATAATCAGCATAAAAGTATAATGGTAAAAAGCCTCTGGTTTATAATAGCACTTGTGCACACAAGCACCATCTCTTTCC